TGAGTGAGTGTGTGTGTGTGTGTGAGTGAGTGTGTGAGTGAGTGTGAGTGAGTTTGTGTGCGTGTGCGTGTGTGTGTGTGTGTGTGTGTGTGTGTGTTTAATGGCCAGAACACCTCCGAGTTCATTAATTTGCTCTAATGGAGCCACTTTCTGCTTCACTCAGATTCAGATGACATTTGAAGTCCGATGCTTTACAGTGCTCAGTTTTCTTAAAAGCTTTTCAGTTATATATCTTCACGATTTACAGTGAGTGAAAAACAGCCATAACATTAACTAGAGCTTCACTTTCATAAAAGAATAAAAATACGGCCATTTATTACTGGTGTTTGCCAAATCAATCATCACCATTTTCACCTGCTGGACAATAAAATGCTTTCTTAAAAATATAAAAATGCAGTATCTCTAAATGCATCGTCACTCTGACAGAATTAGTTTTGGCTCAGAAACCTGTTGTGCTTAATATAAGGAATAATCAGCATCTCTTCTTGGTTTAATATGCGCTCATGAGATGAGAAATTGATCCACTGGGATTGGTTTGGAGCAGTTACTCACACGTGAATAGAGTCGTGGGATCACGTTACGCTGCGGTCTGAACTCTGTCCATTTCATTCACTGCGTGTGACTCTCAAAGTCTCTCTGAAGCGGATCCATTTCTGTCTGACTGAGAGGAGGAGGAATTAGAAGAGAGACACTGACTAACTAAATGTTTTCTGCTCACCAAGGCTGCATTTAGTTGATTAAAAAAACAGTAAAATTCTAAAATATTTTTACTATTTAATGTAGCTGTGTTTTATGTGAATGAGTTGTAAAATGTAATTTATTCCTGTGATCAGAGCTGAATTTTCAGGATCATTACTCCAGTCTTCAGTGTCACATGATCCTTCAGATCCTCCAGTCCACTAGGTGGCGCTGTGTACCACTGAAAAACTAAACAAAGAATGATAAAACCTAAAAAGTATGCATGAGTGTGTACTTAAAATACATCAGAAACATCAACAGCCCAGTGCTTTTGGCATTCATAAGAGAACACAAGATTTGGGATTCACTCATCATTATAGAATATTATACAGGATGGATAGCGTTTTCAAACAGTATTAAGTCTTATTTACTTAAGAGGAAAATAACTTAAGTTATTATAAAATAACTTGTAAGATATAAGTCTTGTTTTCTGAGAAATGTGTTAATATTAAGTGAGTTAAAATGAGAAAAATATCTGTCATTGGCGTAAGAAAACCACACTGAATTTGAAGGGAAAACAATATATGTTTTTCTTGTTTTAAGCAAGCTCACTTAATTTTTATAATTTGTTTCTTTTTTAATGGTTAAATTAATTTTAGAAATCAAAAAAGGCTAATTACTTTTTTATGCACCCCCTAAAATTGTATTTAAATTGAATAATTCTAATTAATTGAAATCAGGAAATGTATACAATTTAACAACAGCTTATTAAAAGTTGAACAACAATTACAATATTAGGGCCCTTTGAAATAAGTTTTATTTTTCTCAAATTCCATGTGTTTCATTTAATTTTTTTCTGGATTTGGTTTTAATGGTCACATTAAATTTTAGAAATCCCCCCCAAAAACTTGTACTTAATTGAAATCGGGAAACCTATACAATTTAACAAAAGTTTATTAAATAAATTACAATTTTGGGGCCCTATGAAATCCATTTTATTTTCCCCCAAATTTTTTTCTTTTTTAAAATTTTTTTGTGGATTCTTTTTAAAATTAGTTTTGTTTAGATTAGTTTAATTAAATTCTAGTAATCAAAAACATGTCTATCTATTTGAAATCAGATACAATGTAACAACAGTTTATTAAAAATGTAACAACAATTACATTTTTAGGGCCCTGTGAAATACATTTTTAAATTTTAAATTTTATTAATAAAAAACATTTTAAATTTTAAATTTTATTAATAAAAAACATTTCTAATTCATTGAAATCAGGAAACTTAAATTATTTAACAACAGTTTATTAAGTTAAGGGCCCTATGATATCAGTTTAATTTCATTTGAATTTGAATTTAGTTTTAATGGTTAAATTAAATGTTAGTAATCATGTCTCGTTTTATTAAAAACAATGTTTAATTAACTGAAATCAGGAACCTTATACACCTTAACAACAATTTACTAAAAGTAGCAGCAGTTAAAATTTTAGAGCCCTCTGAAATCATTTTATTTTTCCTAAATTCTGTGTTTTTTTTTTTTGTGGATTCTTTTTTAAATCAGTTTCGTTTAGATTCATTTAATTAAATCATAGTAATCAAAAACATGTCTAACTATTTGAAATCAGATACAATTTAACAACAGTTTATTAAAAGTAGCAGCAGTTAAAATTTTAGAGCCCTCTGAAATAATTTTATTTTTCCAAAATTCTTTTTTTTTTTTTTTGTGGATTCTTTTTAGAATTAGTTTCGTTTAGATTCGTTTAATTAAATCCTAGTAATCAAAAACATGTCTAACTATTTATAATGTTATCCAAAATTCTTTTTTTTTTTTTTTGTGGATTCTTTTTAGAATTAGTTTCGTTTAGATTCGTTTAATTAAATCCTAGTAATCAAAAACATGTCTAACTATTTCAAATCAGATACAATTTAACAACAGTTTATTAAAAGTAGCAGCAGTTAAAATTTTAGAGCCCTCTGAAATAATTTTATTTTTCCAAAATTCTTTTTTTTTTTTTTTGTGGATTCTTTTTAAAATTAGTTTCGTTTAGATTCGTTTAATTAAATCCTAGTAATCAAAAACATGTCTAACTATTTGAAATCAGATACAATTTAACAACAGTTTATTAAAAGTAGCAGCAGTTAAAATTTTAGAGCCCTCTGAAATAATTTTATTTTTCCAAAATTCTTTTTTTTTTTTTTTTGGGATTCTTTTTAAAATTAGTTTCGTTTAGATTCGTTTAATTAAATCCTAGTAATCAAAAACATGTCTAACTATTTGAAATCAGATACAATTTAACAACAGTTTATTAAAAGTAGCAGCAGTTAAAATTTTAGAGCCCTCTGAAATAATTTTATTTTTCCAAAATTCTTTTTTTTTTTTTTTGTGGATTCTTTTTAAAATTAGTTTCGTTTAGATTCGTTTAATTAAATCCTAGTAATCAAAAACATGTCTAACTATTTGAAATCAGATACAATTTAACAACAGTTTATTAAAAGTAGCAGCAGTTAAAATTTTAGAGCCCTCTGAAATAATTTTATTTTTCCAAAATTCTTTTTTTTTTTTTTTGTGGATTCTTTTTAAAATTAGTTTCGTTTAGATTCGTTTAATTAAATCCTAGTAATCAAAAACATGTCTAACTATTTGAAATCATTTTCCAAAATTTTTTTTTTTTTTTTTTGTGGATTCTTTTTAAAATTAGTTTCGTTTAGATTCGTTTAATTAAATCATAGTAATCAAAAACATGTCTAACTATTTGAAATCAGATACAATTTAACAACAGTTCATTAAAAGTAGCAGCAGTTAAAATTTTAGAGCCCTCTGAAAATCTTTTTTTTTTTTTTTTTTTTTCAAATTCTATGTTTTTTATATTTTTCTTGATTCGGTTGTAATGGTTTAATTAGGTTGTGCTAATGAAAGAGGTGATTTCCTCAGGGATCGAGCTGTGTTTGCCCGCCTGGCGTTTCTCCATGACCATGATCGCCAGCCTGATCATCGTGAGCGGCCAGCTGCTGATGCCCGGTCTGGCGGCGCTGTGCCGTGATTGGCAGATCCTGCAGATCGTCATCATCGCCCCGTTTGTGCTCATGCTGCCGTACGTCTGGTAAGACCCTCAATAAAGCAACACTGATGCAAGAGACACACACGACTAGTGACATGCATAACACAATCCTGTTTACAAGCTGAACTACTCTTTTGGTTTGCTGAACTTTACCATGTTTGTGGCCTATTCATATTTTATAGCAAGTAAACTAGATATCCTCATGCAAAACTGTATTCCAGTTTGTTTTCTGCACTGCAAAAAAAAAAGGCTTATTTACTTAGTATTTTTGTCTTGTTTCTAGTCAAAATATCTAAAAATTCTTAAATTAAGATGCATTTACTTGGTAAGCCAAATGACATAAGATTGTTTCTAAGCGAAAAAAACCCTATTAATATTAAGTGAGTAAAAATGAGAAAAATATCTGTTTATTGGTGTAAGAAAACCACACTGAATTTGAAGGGAAAACAATATATTTTTCTTGTTTTAAGCAAACTCAATGTTTATAATTTGTTTCTTTTTTAATGGTTAAATTAATTTTAGCAATCAAAAAAAGGCTAATTACTTTTTTAGGCACCGCCTAAAATGTTATTTAAATTGAATAATACTAATTAATTGAAATCAGGAAATGTATACAATTTAACAACAGCTTATTAAAAGTTGAACAACAATTACAATTTTAGGGCCCTTTGAAATAAGTTTTATTTCCTTCAAATTCATTTAATTTTTTTCTGGATTTTGTTGTAATGGTCACATTAAATGTTAGCAATAAAAATAAAAAAAATTATAAAAAAACTTTGAAATCGGGGAACCTATACAATTTAACAAAAGTTTATTAAATAAATTACAATTTTGGGGCCCTATGAAATTTTTTTGTTTTTTTGTGGATTCTTTTTAAAATTAGTTTCGTTTAATTAAATTCTAGTAATCAAAAACATTTGAAATCAGATACAATTTAACAACAGTTTATTAAAAATGTAACAACAATTAAATTTTTAGGGCCCTGTGAAATACATTTTATATTTTAACAACTAAATTAAGTGCATTTTGCTTAAAACAAGTAAAAGTATCTGCCAGTGCACGGGGCAAGTAAAATTCTCTTGTTTTAAGAATAGTTTACATACGCAACTGGCAGATAATTTTACTTGTTTTAAGCAAAATGCACTTAATTTAGTTTTTTTAATATCTTATTTCATTTGGCTTACCAAGTAAATGCATCTTAATTTAAGATTTTTTAGATATTTTGACTAGAAACAAGACAAAAATACTAAGTAAGTGGCTGTGAAATAATTATTACTTTTGGGCGGACAGATATTTTGACCACATTTTCTTTTTATATTTGAGTGTTTTCTGTATAAAAATCGTTTTTGCGCCAGTTTATTATTTTAGTCTATAATCTATTTCACATTTAATCATCTCGAAACCACACATAAAAACAAGGAAAACTGTGATTGATGTGGTCTCTTTGTGTCTGCACTGCAAAAAATGATTTTCATATTCAGTATTTCTGTCTTGTTTCCCAGTACAAGCATCTAAACATTGTTAAACCAAGATACATTTACTTGAGAAGCAGAATTAAGTAAGATATTAAGTCTTGTTTTCTCAAGAATGTATCAAAATTAAGTTTATGGTTAAGAAAAACAGAATTCAACGGGAAAACAAGATTATTTTTTTAGTCCTTTTACAGATATGTTACAGATTTCTTTGTTTTAATTGTAAACTCACTTAGTGTAGATAATTCTTTTTAAGATCAGTTTTATTTTTATTGATTTTTTTCCAAATTCCTTTTATATTCCATTGGAATGTTTCTGGATTTTTCTGGACGTTTCTGGAAATTATTTGAAATCACGAAAAATACACAATTTGACGAAAATGTATTTAAAGTTGAACAAAAATGCACTTTTCTAGCGCCCTATGAATTCTGTTTCATTTTTCCCAAATTCGGTCGTTTTCCATTTTAATTTTTCTGGATTCCGTTTTAATGGTTTTATTAAATTGTTATAAACAAAAATATGTTTACAGAATTGGATGTTAATTTAAACACTCATTGCAACAGTTGCAACAGGAGTTTTTTTGTTTTTTGTCCTTTTTATTATGATATGCAAGTATTATATAAACTCTTTTGTTTATAAAAAAGAGGGTCAATAAAAACAGCATTCATTAAAAGCATGTCTAATCAAATGAATTCATAAATCTTCAGCTATTTAATTTATTATAGTTTTTTTTTTTTACACTAGTGTCATGAAATTTGTCATTTCTTCAGAAATTCTATGTTGTCAGTATATATATTTTTTTTTTGAAAAGTCATTTTTCTTCCGAAGTAAATATATCTTGATTTAAGAATTTTTAGAAGTTTGTACTGGAAAACAAGAAAATCTTTATTTTTTTTTTTTTGCGGTGCAAGTGGTCAGTTTGTGGGCAGAATAAGCAGCTTTCAGTGTAAGTGTAACTCTGCTCAGGATGTTTCCGGAGTCTCTGCGCTGGTTGTTGGTCACTCAGCATTATCAAAGAGCCAAGCGACAGATGTTACGCATCGCCCATAGCAACAGCGTCGACACGGCAACCGACTCCAGCGGCATCCTCTCAGGTGAGCACAGCTGTGAGTGTGTTTACCTGCAGCCCGAGGATGAGGAGGAGGAGGATGATGATGATGATGATGGTTTCGCAGAGCTGGAGACTGAACTGCAGCAGAAGCCCAAGACGTTCTGCGTGACGCAGCTGAGTGGCACCAGAAACCTGTGGAAGAACACCGTCGTCCTCTGCGTCAACTCGTGAGTTCAGATTAGATTTCACTAGTACTGAGTTTATCTATCAGTACCTTTCGGCAGGTAAGTAGAACATTTCTAAACTTAAAACATGCTTTCACTAAACTTGCAGTTGCAATGCATTCTGGGATTGATTCTTGAGTGTTGCATGCTCAAATTTGGGAAATAGTTTATCATCTAAATCAGGGTTTTCAATCTTAGAGACCACAGACCCTCAAGTATAATCATCTTCATGCAAAGAACCCCTATCCTAACATTTATCTGTATAATCTCTTCTATAAAGAACCAGTTTCTACTGTGAAAAAAAATCAAATACTACTACAGATTATCTAAAATATGTTTTGGAAAATAGTTTCTGTAAAGTTACATTATTTTGTTTTTTCTTCTCATAGTACAGTTCTGTTAGATGTATTATTTATTTGCTTATTTTATTTAATTATTTTTTAATCTAATTTATATATTAAATTTATTTGAATGTAATTTATATTTATTTATTTTAATGAGATTTTATGTATTTATTTATTTAAAAAATTAAGAGTAAAATAAAAACATTAAAATATAAATAAAGATTAAAATATCTAAATACATAAAAATACATTCCAATAAATAAATACATATATAAAATTAGATTAAAATAAAAATAGATTAAAATAAAAAAAAAAACATAAAATTAAAATGTATAAATATAAATTACATTAAAATAAATACAAAAATAAAAAACAGATTAAAAGGGATGAATACATAAATAACATTTGATTAAAATAAATACATAAAAATTAGATTCATATAAAAAATTGAATGCATAAAATTAGATTAAAATAAACATAAATCAGATGAAAATAAATACATAAAAATATTACAACTAGTAATGATTAAAATATTTTTATTTTAATCTAATTTTTATATAATTATGTTTTTATTTGAACAATTTTGTTTTATTTAACAGTTTATCTTAATCTTATTTCTAGACTTTCACATTGTTTTTTACTTCTCTAAACGTTTCCACGGACCCCCCAGCACTGATCCGGATGATTTCACCTGCAGGGTTGTGCTATATAAGTGCTCTCTTTAGGCTCTGATTGTGTGTTTGTTCTGGTCTGGACACTCAGGTTGACGGGTTACGGCATCCATCACTGCTTTGCGCGCAGCGTTCTGGAGGGCAGCGCGTCTCACCTGCATTATTACGCATTAGCGGCGATCGCCGTGGCCTCCTGCATGGTGCTGTTCCCGGTGGTGGCTGGCTTCGGCAGGAGAGGAGGACTGCTCACCTTCATGATCATCACGGCTCTGGCGTCGCTGCTGCAGCTGGGTTTGCTCAACCGTACGTACAGTACAGCACATGATGACGCAGAGCATCCGCCTCTGAACCTGTACTAACGGCTGTCTTCTCTCTCCTAATGCAGTGATCGGCAAGTACAGTCTATGGCACGATGCAGGTAATACAAAAATATTATGCATTACATATTTTATTGTTGTGACAGAAGAGACTAAACAATGCTAAAGTCAAATAATACAATGCATTTCAATAATCGTGCATAGTTAATGCAATACTGTAGCTAACATGAATAAGACAGCATTACATGTTAATTCTACATGTTAATTTCTACTAATACATGTGAAATATTTCAGGTTATAAATGATACATAATAGTATACATTTTAATTACCGTATTGGCCCGAATATAAGACGACCCTGATTATAAGACGACCCCCTTTTTCCAGATGCACCTTTTGGAAAAAGGCTTTTTAAAAAACAAATCTTGTTTTTTCTCAGTAAAACACATTTTGTCTTCAATTATTTTCATATTGCATATTTTTCCTATTTTAATTTTTGTTTTGAAAGTATGGTAAAAACTGGTAAAATGTACCAACAATCACATTTAAAAAATATACACTTTTTGATATACCATAAAAAAAAATAAAAAAAACTGGTAGCCCATCTGAATTAGGACATTTAGGCTATCCATCTAATTAGTAGCCTACCAAAATCTTATTAACAGTAGAAGTTAAATCTTACTGTAGTCTTCAAATCTGGGTACTGTCTTGCGTTTTAAAATCACAAAGGGAGTTTGGTCCCGTCAGGCTAACGTGACAGTCACGACTCGTGCAGCTGTAAGGTTTTCTTTTTCTTTTGTTTTTACTCGCGATCTTTACAACACGCATTACATTACGTATTTCATGGCACACTCGTTTTATGCGTATTTGGCGCCACCTAGTGTTGTGGGTGTATTATTGACATGTCAAAGTCTAGACCCTGAATATAAGACGACCGCGTTTTTTCGGATGTATTTCCAAGAAAAAAAACATCGTCTTATATTCGGGTCAATACGGTAATTAATTTATTTATTATAAGTAATTTATATACATTAGGGAGAAAAGTTTCTTTTTGTCATGCATAGTTAGTAAAAACACTTCACATTTAATCAAATTTACATTTACTTTTTTTCAATCAGTTTTTTAGGTATGCATTTATTTTAATCAAACAAAAATTAGATTAAAAGAAAAAATTAATTAAATACATACAAATTAGATTAAAATAAATAAATACATAAAAATATGATTAAAATAAATACATGCATATATTTAAATTAATAAATTAATAAATAAAAAGTACTTATGCTAGATAGTAACACTTTACATTTCTGTTAGTTAATGCAATAACTAACATGCAATTACCATGAACAATAAAGCCTTTCCAGCATTAAATAATGTTAATTTCAATAATACTTTTAAATTTCTACTAATACGGTTTAAACATTTTGAGTTATAAATTATACATAATATTATAATTTATATTTGTCATAATTCTTAATAAAAGGTATAAAAAAACCACTGATTTTTTTTTTTTTAACAAAAGGTACATTTATTCTGGAAACAGGTGGAAACAGGCTACCATATATTATATCTTATATACATATTCTTTTTTATGTTTTATATTCAGTGTATTATTCCCACCAGTGTTACATGTACATTAGGAGGACATTTTTTTTCAAACCTATCAATTATGACTTAATATTAGGGACGTCAGTAAATGAAGTAATTGTGAATAATGTTGTGATTTTTATGTTCCCTTTTTGAGGAAAGAAAATAAAAGTCAATTTAGTTTGACGTGTGTAATGCTTTTCAAAATCATCTTCACAGAAAATCATCTTTTTATTGTTTATATCTTACATTTATCAGATTAGAGCCAGATAATAATATAGTTACATTTTGTGACGAGATAATCAAGAAGTTGAGTTTTGCTATATAGTAGTATATATTGCTTTACAGGAGCGGGTAAAGTTAGGTTATACTTATATATGCAACTTTATGAAAGAAGAATGGGCTTCATTCATGAAACATGAGCACATATTTCTATGTACAATCCATTTTTACATAAATTGTGATGTTGATTTGGATGCAACAAGAATTAATTTAAGAACAATCTGCACTAGAACGTGCAGTGATTTACTGAGGTTACTGTAGGTTTGGGAAACGCTGGATATGTATATACACTACCGGTCAAACGTTTGGGATCAGAAGGATTTGTAATGTTTTTTACAGGAGTCTCTTCTGCTCATCAAGGCTGCATTTATTTGATCAAAAATACAGAAAAAAATTTAATATTGTGAAATATTATTATGATGTAAAATAACATTTTTCTATTTTAATATACATTCTACACTTTTGAACGGCAGTGTGTATGTATGTATTAATATATTGTCTATGTTGTCCTAGCTCAGCGGGACTCGCTGAACCAGCGCTTCTCGTACGCGTTCTCCATCATCGGGATGTTCTCGTCTCATGCCGTCAGCACACTCAGCATCTTCTACTGCGCCGAGATCACGCCGACGGTCATCAGGTCAGCGCCTCAGAGACTCCAGTCTGATCTGAGGAATACACAACACTTCACACTGACCTCCCATTAGTCAACGCTTGTTTATTAGTGTAAGAAACTCATTTAACCCCTTAACTGTCACCGTCCCCTTCACTGTGTTACAATTAAATCCTAATGTAAGCATGACAAACTATATCACTGGAAAGGTCTAAGACTCCTAAATAGATATTATACCATTATTGTTTGTTACAAATTATGTAGGAACAGCAATAGATTCATTTATGACAAGAGTGCACCAAGAGTCTATGACAAATCATAACAGGAGCTCAGACCTTTGTCACAAAAAGACGTAATATTGAGAGAGAAATTGATAGATTTGTAACAGAAATGCATCAAAAAAATGTCAATGGCTTTTTTGGTATAACGCCTAAACAAAATTGCATATGAGCCTAAATTTTTTTAATATCAACTTCAAATTTGGAACACAACTTATGTAGACATATGGCTTTAATTTGATAGCAACTTTGTATTTTTTACTATTTTTTTTTTAATATTTATTTTATATAAAATAAAATAAAAATAGTACATTTTCTTTACAGTAAATTTAAACTTCTATAATTTTTGAATACTTTCAATTTATTAAATGATTTCTCTTCTGTAATACTCTGCTAATTGTCTTCTTTAAAAAGAGACCAACCCAATTTCGTCGGTCATCCGACGTGACGTCTCCGTTCCCTCCTTCAGGGAACGAGGGTTACCATACGTAACCGAGACGTTTGTATAGTGCACTTTCTCGTGAATTTTCAAAAATGTGGATGTCAGTTAAAGGGTTAAACTAATTAAAATAAGTTTTAATAAATTTAAATGTTTAATTTAATTTAAACTAATACAACAGTAAGTTGATTAAATCACTAAATTTAATAAAGAAAATTGTAATAAATTAATTTAATAGTTATTTACTAGTTACTAAAAATACAACTGTTTTATTTTGTTGTTAATTTATCTTAGGTCCATTAAATAATATTAACAGATATTGATTTTACTAATGTATTATTCTGTGCTATTTTAGTATCATTAATATACTGCTACAGTATTCTAGTTTAGTTTTCATTTTATTTTAGATTTTTATAGTTTTAGTGATTATATTGTTTTTGTCATTTTTATTAGTTTTCATTTTTTTTAAATTAATTCTTATTTTATTTTAGTTAAAAACTGTTATTTTAGTTATTTCAGTGCTTCAAGTTAAACTAAATGAATAGGAGAAATTTAGTTTTTGCTATAAACAATATACTGTAGTTTTTGTTAATATTTTGAATTAGGTTTTTATAGTTTCTGCTTTCACATTAATTTTACTTAAAGCTTTAGTAATTTTGATGTTTTTGTCATTTTTATTATTTTTTAAATGTCTATATTTTTTATTAATTTGTATTCGTTCATTTTAGTTTTAGTTTGTTATTTCAACAATTTCAATTAGTTATTTCAGTTATTTCAATTGCTATTTTTTGCTATTAACAAAATAGTTTTTATTAATATTTAGAAGTACATTTTGTTATTAGTTTGCTTTCATTATAATTTTGGTTACATTTTTTAGTAATCTTGCGTTTTTTGAATTTTATTAAAGTTTTTTTTTAAAAATATGTCTATATTTATTTACTTTTTATTTATTCCTTTTAGTTTCTTTAGCTTTAGTTATTATAGTACCTCAAGTTAAACTAAACAAATGAGAAATGCAGTTTTTGTTAATAAAAGTTTTCGTTAATATTTTAAATTAGATTCTATTATATATTTTTTTTGTTTAAATATACTATCCCTAGTTTTAGTAAATGTCGAAATTAACAAACTATATTTCATCCTCAACTAATGTAAACAAATGAAACCTTAGTGTTACTGAGGATTCATTCATGTCTTTATACTTACAAGCTTGATTTTGCAAACACCAATAATGAAAGTAGTATTAACCTGATCATTACCCGATGTTTTGTCGTAACAGGGGTGGAGGAGTGGGTCTGGTCCTAGCGAGCGCAGGTTTCGGTATGCTAACAGCGCCGCTGATGGAGCTCCACAATCAGAAGGGTTTCTTCCTGCATCACGTGATCCTCACCTGCTGCACTCTGCTCTGCATCATTTGCATACCGTTACTCCCGGAAACCGCCAGCCAACCGCTGCCCGAGACTATTGCTGAGGGGGAGGGGCTTCTGCGGTGGCCCATCCTCCCCGGAGAACAGCACCATCTACTGGCCAGGACCGAGGTCAGGGAGTATTCGCGCGTTCAGGACACGCCCCTTCACCAGGTCGTCAACCCCGGCAACGGCTCGGTGCCTAGCAACAGCACAGCCAATGGCGTGAGGACTTCATGACGGCGTTTGCTAAAGACGGCCGAACGAAGAGCGATTGTCGAGAACGAGTTTCACTCATTCGTTTTTTTAAACTGCGAAATGCGACTGATGTCGTGGTAAAGTGTCAAACGCCTCATTAACCAGCATCGGTGAAAAATTCTTACCATTGTACAAACTGGAAATGTTATTTTAACTTGCGTTTAGCGAAAGGAGCTCTATTTTTCGAACGGCCACTACCGAACAATAACCTCACGGAGGAGTTTCACTGATTTGAATGCGTTTTGTTTTGTACGTTTGGTAAATATTTGGTATTTATTATAAGGACAGAATGACGTTGACGGTAAGAACCAGCAGACTTTATTCCTGTACGGGAGATTGTTTCCACCACAGGAAAATAAAATAAAAAAAGGTATTCGTGACTTTCTCTCACAGTCACAACTCCGAATTTTTTCTCGCAATTCTAAGAAAAAAATTTGCAATTCTAAGTAAAAAATAATAATAATTGTGGGATATAAACTCGGAGAAAAGTCAGAATCACAAGATATAAACTCGCAATTCTGAAAAAAGTAAAAATAGCAATATATAAACTGAGAATCGCAAGATTTAATGCCGCAATCCTGGGAAAAGTCAGAATCGCAAGATATAAATTCTAAGTTAGAATTTTGAGTTAAAAAGTCGCAATTACCTTTTTAATTTTTTATTCCGTGGTGAAAAAAAACAAAACCGAATTGCGAGAAAAAAGGTCAAAATGATGAGTTTAGATCTCACAATTATGAAAAAAACTCAGAATTGTGAGTTTGTAAAGTCTGAATTATAAAGTCATAATTAAAGTCTAAATTATGAGATAAAATTGCAATTCAGGACAAAAAGTCAGAATTACGAGTTTATATCTCATAAAGCAGACTATCTCATTTTTTATGCCTCTATTCTGTCGCAATTACTTAAAAAAAAATTTTTTGATCCTGTGGCAGAAACAAGCTTCCATATTCATGACACACAAGTGTACAAAATATGTGCACAAATTGTTTAGTAAACACTAATTCTTCTCATTCGTAGGAATGGTTGTTAAGCGCAACAAATAAGTTTTGCTCATGTTTCATGAATGAAGTTCGCCGTTCGTGTGCACCTCACTATGTTCAGGTTTTTTTAGTCTGTCTGTTTTGCACTAAAACTAGAAAATCTTCTTTAAAAAGAGACCAACCTTAGGTCTGTATTCAAAAGCGATCATGAATTATAATAATTTAAGTTTGTATAGTGCACTTTCTCGTGAATTTTCAAAAATGTGGATGACAGTTAAAGGGTTAAACTAATTAAAATAAGTTTTAATAAATTTAAATGTTTAATTTAATTTAAACTAATACAACAGTAAGTTGATTAAATCACAAAATTTAATAAAGAAAATTGTAATAAATTAATTTAATAGTTATTTACTAGTTACTAAAAATACAACTGTTTTATTTTGTTGTTAATTTATCTTAGGTCCATTAAATAATATTAACAGATATTGATTTTACTAATGTATTATTCTGTGCTGTTTTAGTATCATTAATATACTGCTACAGTATTCTAGTTTAGTTTTCATTTTATTTTAGATTTTTATAGTTTTAGTGATTATATTGTTTTTGTCATTTTTATTAGTTTTCATTTTTTTTAAATTAATTCTTATTTTATTTTAGTTAAAAATTGTTATTTTAGTTATTTCAGTGCTTCAAGTTAAACTAAATGAATAGGAGAAATTTAGTTTTTGCTATAAACAATATACTGTAGTTTTTGTTAATATTTTGAATTAGGTTTTTATAGTTTCTGCTTTCACATTAATTTTACTTAAAGCTTTAGTAATTTTGATGTTTTTGTCATTTTTATTATTTTTTAAATGTCTATATTTTTTATTAATTTGTATTCGTTCATTTTAGTTTTAGTTTGTTATTTCAACAATTTCAATTAGTTATTTCAGTTATTTCAATTGCTATTTTTTGCTATTAACAAAATAGTTTTTATTAATATTTAGAAGTACATTTTGTTATTAGTTTGCTTTCATTATAATTTTGGTTACATTTTTTAGTAATCTTGCGTTTTTTGAATTTTATTAAAGTTTTTTTTTAAAAATATGTCTATATTTATTTACTTTTTATTTATTCCTTTTAGTTTCTTTAGCTTTAGTTATTATAGTACCTCAAGTTAAACTAAACAAATGAGAAATGCAGTTTTTGTTAATAAAAGTTTTCGTTAATATTTTAAATTAGATTCTATTATATATTTTTTTTGTTTAAATATACTATCCCTAGTTTTAGTAAATGTCGAAATTAACAAACTATATTTCATCCTCAACTAATGTAAACAAATGAAACCTTAGTGTTACTGAGGATTCATTCATGTCTTTATACTTACAAGCTTGATTTTGCAAACACCAATAATGAAAGTAGTATTAACCTGATCATTACCCGATGTTTTGTCGTAACAGGGGTGGAGGAGTGGGTCTGGTCCTAGCGAGCGCAGGTTTCGGTATGCTAACAGCGCCGCTGATGGAGCTCCACAATCAGAAGGGTTTCTTCCTGCATCACGTGATCCTCACCTGCTGCACTCTGCTCTGCATCATTTGCATACCGTTACTCCCGGAAACCGCCAGCCAACCGCTGCCCGAGACTATTGCTGAGGGGGAGGGGCTTCTGCGGTGGCCCATCCTCCCCGGAGAACAGCACCATCTACTGGCCAGGACCGAGGTCAGGGAGTATTCGCGCGTTCAGGACACGCCCCTTCACCAGGTCGTCAACCCCGGCAACGGCTCGGTGCCTAGCAACAGCACAGCCAATGGCGTGAGGACTTCATGACGGCGTTTGCTAAAGACGGCCGAACGAAGAGCGATTGTCGAGAACGAGTTTCACTCATTCGTTTTTTTAAACTGCGAAATGCGACTGATGTCGTGGTAAAGTGTCAGACGCCTCATTAACCAGCATCGGTGAAAAATTCTTACCATTGTACAAACTGGAAATGTTATTTTAACTTGCGTTTAGCGAAAGGAGCTCTATTTTTCGAACGGCCACTACCGAACAATAACCTCACGGAGGAGTTTCACTGATTTGAATGCGTTTTGTTTTGTACGTTTGGTAAATATTTGGTATTTATTATAAGGACAGAATGACGTTGACGGTAAGAACCAGCAGACTTTATTCCTGTACGGGAGATTGTTTCCACCACAGGAAAATAAAATAAAAAAAGGTATTCGTGACTTTCTCTCACAGTCACAACTCCGAATTTTTTCTCGCAATTCTAAGAAAAAAATTTGCAATTCTAAGTAAAAAATAATAATAATTGTGGGATATAAACTCGGAGAAAAGTCAGAATCACAAGATATAAACTCGCAATTCTGAAAAAAGTAAAAATAGCAATATATAAACTGAGAATCGCAAGATTTAATGCCGCAATCCTGGGAAAAGTCAGAATCGCAAGATATAAATTCTAAGTTAGAATTTTGAGTTAAAAAGTCGCAATTACCTTTTTAATTTTTTATTCCGTGGTGAAAAAAAACAAAACCGAATTGCGAGAAAAAAGGTCAAAATGATGAGTTTAGATCTCACAATTATGAAAAAAACTCAGAATTGTGAGTTTGTAAAGTCTGAATTATAAAGTCATAATTAAAGTCTAAATTATGAGATAAAATTGCAATTCAGGACAAAAAGTCAGAATTACGAGTTTATATCTCATAAAGCAGACTATCTCATTTTTTATGCCTCTATTCTGTCGCAATTACTTAAAAAAAAATTTTTTGATCCTGTGGCAGAAACAAGCTTCCATATTCATGACACACAAGTGTACAAAATATGTGCACAAATTGTTTAGTAAACACTAATTCTTCTCATTCGTAGGAATGGTTGTTAAGCGCAACAAATAAGTTTTGCTCATGTTTCATGAATGAAGTTCGCCGTTCGTGTGCACCTCACTATGTTCAGGTTTTTTTAGTCTGTCTGTTTTGCACTAAAACTAGAAAAGCAATCACGAGTCGGCCAGATGAATCTGAACTGAACGTGTGTGAAACCACGACTGGACAGATGATGGCTGTTAAAAAAAACAAACAAAAAAAACAACAGCACAACTTAATGGTCTGCTCTTAACCCTTGTGCGTCAATTTAAAAAAAGTTACATAGAGGATCTTAGAAGACAAAAAAAAAAAGTCATAAAATATTATATACTACAATTTTTTCTGCTTTCACTGTCCTGATCAAAACTACCAAAACTTAAGTAATTTTCATGATTTTAACCCTTTAAATGCTAGTTTGTTTATATAATGCCACTGTTGTTTTTTAATGAAAGATGAAATTAATTATTTTGCATATACGAAATGCTAAGGAGATTTTTTATTTTTACAGTCTTGGATATGTCAGTGATTAGCAAAAACATTAATGTTGATGCATTATTTTGTGCAGTGTCAAAAAAAATTATAAATATAATTCAATTTCAATTTTTTTAGGCAGAAGCAGAAAATCAGGTGGAAAATCATAAGAATTTTAAAAATAGTAAAAATTGCCAACAGAGTGCATGATTTTATGCTTAAATAGCACTGGGATTAAATATTGCAGTTTTAATGGGTTTCAATTGGGACATTATTTTCAATGAGGTCAATGTGTGCAACTATTTTTGTACCTAGTATAAAATAGATTTATGAAAGGAAATGGGGGTGAAATATTAAGATTCTAATAAAAATACACATTTTTGACTAAATTTACATTGTTTGCATTAACACACTCAAAATGATAAAAAAAAACATGAAAAAGACTAAAAGTCCCTAAAGACGTACAAGGGTTAACATGCAAGCATTCACAAGCTCAATAACCACAGTTACAGGGCCGAGTGTCACGGGACACATTTCACATCAAAATCAAAAGAAATACAATATAGATGAAAAATAAATGATATTGTGCATCAAGAAAATGAAGCCTTTTTTAGATTTGAAATGCTAATAAGTAAAATATCGTTGTATTAAAGTAATGAGAATTTAATGACGATCATTAGAATAATAAAAACAAAGTACAAAAGTATAATGTGCAGATGCATTACGATGATAAGATTTTTTATTGCATTGTGGTAATGAGATCTGGCAGGAGGGGAGAAAATGAAAATAATGTCACAGTGCAGAAACAGACTTATTTTATGAATTAATTTTTAAATTTGGTGTGAAATGTGACCCGGACATTCACTTGTTTCATAAATGTGAACTCGGGCTGACGTGGAGCACGACCACTAGAAGGGCTGCTGATTGTGTTTTCATGTATATTTAGCAATTATTGTTATTATTATTAATGTGTAGAGTAGCAGTGGAGTAACTTGAACATCACAGAGCTCCTGTTTTCCTCGAACTACTGAATAAGAAACCAAATTAAGAACAAAAACAGTATACTAGGACGTTAATGAAACACTTCAAGGTTTTAAACAGTGATTGCAGGTATTGTGTGTGTTTATACAGGATTCTGGGATATATATAAGCACAGAATCAATATTCACCTT